CTAATTCATCATAATGTCCAATACATCATAGTTAAGATTGACAATCCTCATCATCTTAAAACTTACTAAACCATTCCTTTTTCTTGTTATACAAGCAAAACTAACTAATCTATTCTTATTTTCTTAGACTATCAAATGAAATATAAATATCATCATTGTATAAAATCAATATTTATTATCGAATCTGTTATATAACATTAAGCTTTCTCCAGAAAGTCAAACTAATTTGTTGTGAATAAAATTCATTGTCTACATATATTTAAATTGACTTTAATACAGAGAGACCTTTCAAGTTATCAAATGACTTTTGTATGTATTCAAATTATACAAACTCTAGTTTCTCTCGTTCAAATGAAATGACAATCATTATAAGCACTCTTCTATTTCTTTTTTTCGAAATGGAAGAACGAAAGAGTTCAGCTACATTATTTGCTAAAGGGTTGAGCACATTCATTTCTTTTCTTTACAATATAGACGGCAAATCGATATCGACTTATCATAATGATATATTTCATTATAAAATTCATTTTAATAATCACAATAATCGAATCCACTATAATAGAAATTCCAATTCGACTGATGACATATAATATAATGCGTGGTCGTTATAATTGTTATGAAGAAAAATTAAAAGCAAATGAAAACTTTCGTCAATCAATAAATATAAAAACATTCAATAATCGAGCTGATTTTGTTCGAGCTAATTTAGCTACAATAGCTAATCATATTCGTCAATATGATCCTGACATAATTGCTATACAAGAAGTTCAAGAATCACCATCATCAATACCCACTAACAATGAAATATCAACAGCTACTTATCTTGCACAACAACTTGACATGACATTCACATTTAGTCCAACTTTATTTGACAATGAAGTTCAAATGCAGTATGGTACAGCTATACTGTTAAATCATCATAGATTTCGTTTAATAGCAGTAGAAATTCTTTCCTTACCGCTTGGTCTTGAACCACGAAATTCGCCATGTTTAACTATTCAACCTCGAAATGCAAATATTACATTTCGAACATGTTCTATTCATTTTGATCATCATCCAACTGATAATACAATTCGTTTACAACAAGCAAATACATTTATTTATTGGTTAACTAACGGACAATATCATCCAACAATACTTTTAGGTGATTTTAATGCTAATAAAACTTCAGTAACTTTAACAAATTTATATAAGTATTTTTTTGATGATGATTCACAAGATAATTCTCGTCCAACATGGTCAGAATGTGATGAAATATTAAAGGATAAAATTGATTATATATTATTAGATCGACAATCTCATTGGAAAATAAAACATTTTTTACATGGATTAAATATGAAAAAATTATATTCATCAATTGAAATCACAATGCTCTCTGATCATGTACCATTACTTGCTGAAACTATTCTAAGTGTTCCAGTAAAATAAATTAAATTTTTTTTTGAATATTTTATCAGATGTTGTTTACTTGATAATTAATAAATGTCACCTCCAACTCTCATATATCTTTGATCCATATCTAAAAAATAAGACAGAATAGACAGAAGATCATGTCAGTCAATTTATCATAAAATGTAAATATACAGAAAATTACTTTTATTCTCTAAACTTGTGTCATGTGAGAAAATATTACCTTCTTTTTTTTTAAATCAGTGTTTTCTTTAAGCACAGATGCCATGCATTGCCGCGTCCTGACAAACTATGAGAAGCAATGTCATTGTTTGAATACCTCTTTCATTAGAATCCTGACAAACATTGCCATTCGTGATATATTCTCTAAATTGCATCATAGAATATTATATTTTACAAATATTTTTTTTTTTGTTTTTTTCATTAAATATATAATTGATCTAGGAAATATATATTCGCCATATGTTACAAAGCAAACGAAATATACTGATAAAAAAGCATGATACATTTTTTTATCGTAAGACAATTTTTGTTATATTTTACATTTTTAGCATTTTATGTTTTTAAGAAAACTATGTAAAACATATAGAATATATTATTTTAACAAAGATAAGTATATTTCAGCATAATTTTATTCGAGGCACATATTATCAAAGGAAATTCCTCCTATTATTTTCCTGCCAAAACAAGTCTTTATCTCCTACGCATCTGCTTTGTTCGAGGGCGTGTCAATAATAGAAAAAAAGAGAGGGAAAAACGGGGGGGAAGCACGTAGGTTTCTTCTCTTCTTGTCAAGAAAAGAAGAGACGCACAGAAGAACGGAAGAACAAATAGGAGGTATATTCTGTTTTTGTTTCACGCATGTTGTTACCCTACTCTTTTTTCACCTTTTTCCTCACTTACAAGCTCGACGTCGTTACTCTTCTCATCGACAATATTGCTGCTATTGCTACTAGATAAACGACGCCAACAACGAAAGAAGGAAAAGTAATAGAAACACTAAGACGAACCGCTCTCAAAGTACTATAGCTGTTCTTTTTTCTCAGCCTTGATTATCCGTCATGTCATTTCACCCTTGCTATAGAAGGCCATTCATGCGCATGTGTTCTTTTCCTCAATTTCACTGCATACAGAAAGAAGAAAAAAAAGATTTTTTTTTTTAATTACTTCCCATTTTAAACTTAAAATATTTTATATACGTGAAGCATTTTGTTTTTGGTTAAATTACAAATGAAATATTAAAACGTATGTACGCACATAAAAAAATATTATATTTTTTTTTAGCAAATCGTTTCGTCAAAATCATATTAATGGATAACTAATTTACTGATAAATAAAGAAAAAAAAACAATAAGACAAATAAATTATTTGCTAATTTTCAATGACAGTTATTGTTTTTTGTTCTAGCTATAGAATGAATATAAAAGAAATTTTGATAGTTTTGTTTCTTAGGATAGAAATAAATATGATTAATTTTTTTATAATCAAAAGAACTGATAATGTGTAAAAAGGCAGTTACTTTGTTGAGATAAGAGTATGATATATTTGTTAAGTTCTTTTTTTTTTATTTATTCCACCACCCCCACATTACCACGATATTTAATATTGGTTCCTTTCTGTATATAATCCACTCCAACTGTTTCTTGTCGTTCTTTTTTTCATTGCTGTCCAATTTAACAGTATTCAATCCACTCGTAATATCACACAACATAACGCTTATGTGGGTGTGATAACACGGATATTTTTAGTGTCGTCGTATTTTTTTCGATATAAAGTCTTTTTCTTCGTTTACTACTTGTTACAGATGACTATCAAGCACTTAATGAATATTAACTTCGTAAGCATTTTTTTCACCTATTAATCGTATTTTTTTATTTATATATATATTGTGACGAAGAAATACGTGCATCATATATTTTTTTTACTTTATTTTTTAAAAATTCTATTCACACATGACACATGTTGGACAGACATTTTCATTTTTTTTAATATTGATAATGTCAGCATTTATTAGTCAGGTGATATTAGCATAGGTAATATTGTATTTATATATACATTTGATCAATTTTTTTTATTACTTTTTCTCATTTGATGATAAATAGATAGTTATATCTATTGTAATTGACGTCATCTTTGGCTATTGACGCTGAGAGTCTCTTGAGAACAAAATAGGAAAAAAACCAAAATCGACTTAGTTCGAGACAGAACGTGGGCGGATAAAAGACATCGTCATCAGTTAGCTAATACTAAAGGTATTAGAAAAAATTAAAAAAATATTAAATGAAAATTGATTAAAAATATCCAATCAAAATAGATTTATTATCTGAATAAAATTAAAGTCACATGTTTAGCAAATATTTTTTTTATTGTAATAAAATCATAGTAAATATGACTTAACCGGAAGTGAAAACATTAGAGAATAGGTTAAAATATAATTAAATGAAAAGTCATCAGTGAAATGGAAGAGAAAGTTGACGTTTAATAATATCGAGTACTAAGAAATTGCATAGAACTTTTTATGACCAGGCGCTTATTTATTCAACTAGTTTTATAAATATTTTTCACTGCCTTCAAAGTTCTATTCTTTCTTTCTGCTCTCTTCAATCGAGAACATGATTCTTTTGATATATGTTACAGTTAGCGTATAATAATTAGAAAAAAAACTTCTTTTTTATTATTTTACTCTTGAATTTTCACCTACTCTTTATTAATTTTGTTGGAAAAAAGAAGGACACTTTTGATTCTACTTTTAGTATAGACTTCATGCAGCGCATGATTAAAAGCTGTAGATACCTTCATTGAAGTGTGATATTATACACTGATAGTATACATGCAAGCACACAAACGTGCATATATCACGATGTTAATTTAGATAATTTGGATCCGACCGGAAGTTGTCTTAATCATATTCATTTCTCGATGAAATAGAATGGATAAAAGATTAAGTATTCATTTTGTAATATTTGAGAGTCTATGTTCTTTCATTCACTGAAATAATTCACTAAAAATAGAATTTTCGAATGCAAATATGTTCTTCAGTATTATGTTTACTAGTTCGTTCGCCCACCCCATAACTATCATCATTGGGCTAATATTTGTTATTTCTTAGATTCTTCGTCTCTTTTCTTCTTTGCCATCGTCATCATCATCTTTTTCTTCTTAGCGCACAAATATACACAACTCTCATCTTCCGCATAAAAAAAAAGGATGCTATCAATGTTTGCGCTTGTGAAGAAAATCTTCTTTTATTCTCTTCCTTCTTCTTGTGTGTGAATACACGCGCATTTTTGAGATGAGAAAAAGCCGAGAGAGACAAAATGATAATTATATCGGTACGCAAACGTTAGCTAACAATAGAAGGCACAAATATTTAGGTTAATTCAATACATGGGTAATCTTTAAAATGAGTTTACATTTTTTATTAGAAAAACAACCAAACAAATATAAAATTTAAATTATTTTTTTAGATTAAAATTCTTAGTGAATGCACAAAGTTATTTTTAATTTGACACATTGTCTATATGACTATGTGCATTCCAGTCGTATCAACATTATCTAAAACTTCAACTAGCTCTCTTATTGTGTCTTCGATGCATCCATCAAAACAAAATTCATCTTTTGATGAACAGCAAGAATTTTCATCAGATATTGATAATGTTAGAATTGGAGTACGAACAAATACTCCATCAAGTATAACTGGTAATGGTTCAGACAATGATTCACCTGTTCGAAGTTATGCACTTATTGAAACTGATCCTAATGAACTTGATCATATTATTGATATACTTCGACAATTTTTTCCTAAAACACGTATTGTTGAATGTAACAATGCATCATCAAATCCCAGTCGTACACCAAGTCGTTCATCATTAGCAACAGCACCACAACAACAAACATCAACGGAATCAAATAGTAGTTTACGTGTTCCAACATATGTAACTAATCGTTTTTGCACACATAGTCGTAGTATATCAGAAAAATCTTCATTCGAAAGTGATATTTTACAAAATTCAACAATAACTACATCAGAAATTCCAAATTTAAATTCAAATGACCAATCGCCATCAAATTCAAGTTCACAAGTAATAAAAAGAAATATGATTTTTTTTTTCTTTTTTGATTATTTATTTTTAATTTTTTGTTTATTTAGGCATTTAAGGGTAAAGTAAAAGATTATTTACAACGTCGTTATTTAGAACAAATTAATGAACATCAAACACGTAAAGAAACATTTATAAAATGTCGTAGTGATGATTTAAATTATCATCATATAAAAAGAGAACCATCATCACAACTTGTTCAAAGTTGTGAACATATATCAAAACCCAACGATCACTATCATCATCATCATCATTATCATAATACACTTTTAAATTCTTCTTCAATACCATCAACAATTCATAAATCAAATACAACAGTAAAAGCTCATTCATTTGATTCATCATCAGTATTACTTCAACATTCTGTATCTGATACAAATTTATGTTGTACATTAAGTGCATCAGATACAGATTTTATTCAATCACAAGATGGAAATATTACACGTTCACAAAGTAAACGTGGTTTATTACAACGTTGTGCAACCATTGATATGGAAGATACACCAGCATCAAATATTGATGATGAACATATGACATCATTACCAACATCACCAGTAACTGTTGAAAAACTTGATGCAGGTAAAATTACATTTAGTATTGATCGACCTGATGATGATGATGATAATGATGGTGATCAAACAAAACCTTTATCTATTCAACCAAATATTCAACATCAAGCGAAAACTCGTCCATTTCGACATTCATATTCTGATCAACCAACAACTGATGAGTCAGCAAATAAAAATAATAACAATTTATTAGTACCTTATAGACATTCATTTGAACATCCTAATGAAAAAAGAACATTTTCATCAGCTATAACAACAATGTCATGTCAAAGTGGTGTACCTTTACCAGTTGCACCTTATTCAGCATCAAGTGATCCTGGTCCATATCTTTCACCATGGTCCAATACACCAACAAATCCATATGGTTTAATGAATTTTCATTTTCCAAAAAGTCAAGAACATGCTGTTACTAGTGCACAAGGTAGTATGGCACAGTTATCAACATTAACAAAGTTTTTATGTGATGAACCAAGTCTCTTTACACCGATTTCTCCAAGGTAGAAAACGGCTGTATTATATTATTTTGACACGAATAAATACTGTCAATTTAGATTTAAAACGGAAGTGCAAGATTCTAATGGTACTAGAAATTCATCATCCGTACCAGCATGTCAGATTTGTCGGCAGGAATTTGAATCAAGGCAAACGTAATTATCTATAACTAATATTTAAAAGAAAAATATTCGACATCTTTTAAATGTTTTTCAAGGTATATAGCTCATTATCGTGCACATCTTGAAAGCTCATGTGAAGATGATAAATCAGGCATACTTGATTTCACACAAATTGACAATAATGGTTTTCGAACTGGTGAAGCACGTAATTATTCATGCAAAATATGTTCAAAACGTTTTTCCCGGTAAAACTTTATTTGTATACTTTATAAATTTAAGATTTATTAAATTATTTTATCTGTTTATCTTAGAAGTGATATGTTAAATAGACATTTACGATTACATTCAGGTATTCGTCCGTATCGTTGTACAATGTGTAATACACATTTTTCTCGGAGTGATCATTTATCGACACATTTACGTACACATACTGGTGAAAAACCTTATGCATGTCCTGAATGTTCATATGCTGCTTGTCGACGAGATATGATTACAAGACATTTAAAAGTTCATTTAAAACAACGACCTGAAAGAAAAAATGCAACGTCAAGTTTAGGTTCAAGTAATGAATCATAGAAAAAGACAATAATTAATAAATGCTATTTGTTCAAAGGACTAAACAATATTTCGTTTCTAGTCATTATTTTGTTCGATTCGTTTGCTTGTGTGGTTGATATATAGAGATGATTGACGCTGGCGTCTTAATTGTTTTCTAAGGTACTAGTATTCTAAATGAAACCCGGTTTATGTCTTAAATTTATTTTTCTGTCACTAACTTTTTGTATGTAGAGAAAAAAAAACAAATGAATATTCTGAAGCCTGTAAATATGTGTAGATAAAAACCTTATAAACAAGAGCAATATGTCTATTAATGTGAAAATTAAGATAAGAAAACAGTACCATGATGATTTATTTGATGTTAAAATAAAGCCTTAGAAAACACATGGAGAAAACTAGCATTGTTAATCGGAATGAATAAAGATAAAACAGTCTCTGGTGTTTGTCTGTCAATATCTGATGATGATGTTCTGCTTCGGTTTTTCTTTTGCTCTCGAAGTACAATTATTGAAATGGTCATGTTCACCAGAGAATAAAAAAATGTTTTTTCCTTATAGAGCGTAAAAAACATCGGTTTTGTTTTTAATTAAAAGAACGAAATAGTAGATATATGATATTTCATTCATATTTGATCTATTCTTGACAGGTTATGTTGGCAAAAAGAAGAAGAAGAAGAAGCTCACTCAATGTAAAAGTGCTACTTTAAACACTTAGATTTGACATAATATAACGAAAAAAACAAAACAGAATTCGTGACTTTTTAAATAACAAGCATTGGAGAAATATTTCATGCTTTATAAGATGTATTAAATTATATAAAAAGTGATTAATCTAAATTTTTTATATTAACCTAGTAATTTGCATGGAAGTAGTCCTTTGATAATAACGGTAAATTGTTGAAAGACATTATGATATTATTAAGATATTAACCAATTTGACCTTCGACACTTATTGTTCTCTACAATTACATACAATACACGATAACCGTATTTTTTCTGCTCTATTATTTAGGTACATGCATCCAACGCATGATATGCATATGTATATAGATAGAAAGACAATAAAAACAACGCGAACAAAAGGTTATATTCGTTGTTATCGTGTTGACATACATGCATGCATAGCGTTGATTTGTTCTTTCAGCGAAGTGGATATTTTCGCTTCATTATTCGGTACAAATTTTTCCTGTGCATAAAGCTATTCAAATTGTATTTGTTTGTTTCGTTTTATTTCATAAGAAAATACTATACACCAAGTTTATTAGGAAAATATTTTAAAAAATGATGGTAAAATTTTAGTTTTTTAATTATCATTGTCCTCTTCATCCTCATCTGGATAATCAACTTCATCACTGTCATGATCTGATACAATTTCTGCTTTATCTCGACCAAGTTCATCTACATGATCATCATCGTCATCATCATTTTCAGTAGTAGTTTTACGATATCTAGAAATGAAAGGTTAACTTTTGGTAGAGAAAAACACAAAAACAAGATTTCTTTTTATATTTACGTAAGATCAGTTTTACATGTTGTTGGTGGAAGACCAAATATAGTCTTTGAAAGAGACATGTTACCAAGTAATCTTGCAGTTGTTTGTTGGATTAAATGTTCCTATTAATGAAAACGAAGACTAATTTGCTTAAAAAAAGTCAAAAGTTAACATAAGACATCTAGTCGAGTTGTTCTCCGCTTGTCAAAATATTAATGAAAGCGAAGCTTTTGCAAACAATGTATCTTAATAAAGTATTTCTATGGTTTAAAACAATCTGACATAATTCTTGGTGCATTATAAAAAACAAAGCCTCTCATAGACTGTCTGGTATTATACTTTTGTAAGGATAAAAGAAAGTCATTAATATTTCTTTTTTCTTTCAGACCCTTCTTTTCTAATATGCATTTTATACATACTTAATATTCACAATTAGAAATTCAATAATTGAAATAATAGATGACGCAGAATGAATTAAATTACTGGTGATTTTGATATTTCTTCTAATTTCTTCAGCTGATTCGAGCACAGTTTTATTAAAAGGATGCTCTTAAAATTCTCTGCAAAAATCATATATATTTCAATCTAAGGATCGTTCTTGACATATTTTTAAACAAGGCAAGAAAAGGTAAGAACATGTCAACGGCTGTCAAAAAAAAATTAATATGAAAATATTGATGGATTAGAGTGAATGTCTTCTCATGTGGGCAAATTGATTTCATGGCAAACAATTTCAACAACTTCTAGTGATCTATCAGCTTGTTCTAATCGCCCACGTACATTCCAGATAAAACCGTATTAAGGACCAACCACGACTAATATTTTCAAAAAATATTTCTAATTTACTAAGTGGATGCTAATATGGTGTGCAAGACTTTGCATGCATGATCAAATTTCTCGAATCATGATCATTCTTTCTTCTTTTATTATAACTCGCGATCTACTTTCGTAAACTACGTATAATCTTACTGTTCAAGGCAATGAGAATATGTTGCGATCAACAGAAAAAAGAAAGGAAAGTTTTTTTTTTTACATCAAATAACAACATTTATTTCATGAAGTGACCTGTGAACAACTTAACTCTAGCTCAAAAAAAAATGTTCTAATAATTATGTGTAGTTATTTTCATTCAGAAAACAAAGGAGAATAAATTATCGACACAAATTAAAAACATGACATTATTTGTGTCGTAGAAAATCGAACGCAGTTCAAACAGACATAGAGTATATGTGCATTTCGATATCTGTTACTGTTCGTGACCGACTTACAGTCACGGCTATGATCGTGACTGTAACGGGTTTCGACCTAGGCTTATATTGTCTTCATTAACCCTATAAAAAAGTATTTTTTCCTTAGTTAGTTCTTCCATTCTGTAATGCTGAGATGTATGTCTTTTCATTAAGACGTAATACTCAGTAGGATGGTGTAGTGCTAAGCAGCACGCTCTAACTATAATATGATCTAAATTCATACTGTTTAACACTATGACTTTCTGCTGAGCACTATGCCGTCGTACTAATAGAACTAGAGCCCTGCGGAGCCAAATTTTTTCGACTCCAATTGTACCTTCGAAAAAAAAATTTCTATAGCTCTCTGACTCAGATGGAGTCGGAATGGTGTTTCCGATTCCGATGCAGGGCTTTAAATAATACTGCCGACCACTATGGAATTTAGTAACTAATTAAAGAAATAAGGTTTTTTTCTATAAAGGTTAATGAGATCAATTTGTGTTCGAACCAAAATTTCAACCTCTCACCTTGGTAACCGGTAGTCATAGCGGTTACACCGGGTATTTAGCATCACTAGAGTAAAAAATCTTATGCTGATCATTTTCTTTCGTTCATCTTGAAGGATAGCTGCCCACCAGCTTTAAACTCATAAGACTATAGTTTATGGAACAAAGAGAGGCTGGCGCTATAAATTGTCCAATATTGAAATACAGGTAGCATTAACTAATAAATTGCAACGTGCCGTCAAGAAAGTTGAAAAATTATAAAAAGTTACATTTTATACGTTTGATTCAAAAAAGTGAAGGAACTCTATTCGTCGAATAAACCATAGTTTTGTAGAGAATTTCAAGAACAATCTTTTGATAAAAGAAGTGTTTGAACCAAATAAAGATCACAAGAGGAATATTAAAAATACAAACAATCTAATTAATTGATCCTGTGTTAGCCGCTAGTTTATCTCAAAGTTGAAAAATAGCAAAATAATCTGAATATGCGACTCTTTGAAAGAAATGTTCGTTTAAAATGAAAATATTTGAAAAAAAATTACTTCTGTTTGTTTTTTTTCTTCATTATACAATTGAACAGCTTCATCTAATGAAATAAGTTTTGTTTTTGTCACTGTTGCTTTACTATCACGTTCAGCTTGTCGAGCTTTTAGACGTTGTTTAACTTCGTTTAAACGTTCATCAGAAAAATTATTATCAGTTGTTGTTTTAATAGAATTTGTTACTGATTTTTCGAGATGAACTTTTTCTTGAGAAATTTCATTATCATTTGATGACACTGTCATTTGACTAAATTGATTTATTATAACATCACAATCCATAGGTGATGGTGGTATGATAAGAAATTTTTCGATTTCAACTATTGCATTACGTAAACGTTGACCTTTATCTGGTAGACCATTGATTAAGCGTCTTAAACGAAATAAAAAGATAGAATTAATGAAATTATAGATTAATTCATTTTTTTTGTCACTTACGTATTATTTAACATTTGTTGATGCTTATTGAGTAAAAGTCTTAATTCACCTTCACTCATTTTACTGTAATCAGGTTTTGTTATTTGTTTTATCATCTAAAAAAGTTAACATAGAATTATTTTCTGTTACAAAAAAATTCAAAATTATTTCGAAATAAAAATAGACATGTTGGTTTCTATGACATAAATTTTGTCCTAAAACTCAATGAACATCGACTAAATGTGAAAATATGTATTTTTGTTTTTGATACATATTTTATTCATAAATAGCATATGAACTCATATAGCAGATGATCGAAAAGTAATTACACCAAAATATCTTTTTTTTTTAGTCTATTTAAAGAGCCTGCAGAAATTTGAAAACATTGAAATAGAATCAAAATTTTGTTTATTTTTCGAATACTAGGTGGGTAAAAATATTATTCCAGGGGGGTAACGCTATGATTTCAAATAGCAATCATAACAAATTTTATACCAAATTAAAGCGCGTCAAAAACGGGATTTAGCAGTACTAAATAGTAAGGGATATAGAAACTTTTCTATGTTGAACTGAACCAATTTTTGAAATATAATGGCGATACTCTGTAAATAATGAATCATTTGACCAGAATNATGAACATACTTGAAAACAGTATGCTCGAAATTTACAATAGATCAGTGAACCATCAGGCCAATCGATAGCAAACCAAGCATTCATGACTCGTGGAAGTACACCTGTTAATAATTGGCCTATATTGAGAAATGACATAGTTGTTAAATAGAATGCACATGAATTTTCTCGAAAAGTTTTAAGACTAAGAAAAACAAGCATATTCAATAAATTGCCAATTAATCCACCAATAAGAATAATTAGGCCAACATAAATAGAGATAAGTAGTGAAATATTATTAAGCAATACAATTGACGGCATCAGTACATCGTCCTATAGTATGAAACTTTACCAAGTCTTTCTTTTATGTCAACAAACTAGTCATTTCTCATAGTTTATATCGACTAGAAGTTGATATGACTCAACCTGTATAATTATCTATTATTAATAAGCTTGGAGGACTTGTTTTCTGTAATATCCGGTACTATATACTTCGTTTCATTTTATGTTATCAGTGAGAAAAAACTTCTAATTAATCATGTACATCATATAACTAGAAACATGAAAAAATCATCCATAATGACGATGATAAAACTCATTACACTTTTGTATTGCTGATTCAAACTAATACTGCGATTAAGTTATTATGTTGCAAGTCATGATATATTTTAAATTAGCTTTATATATGAATAATATAGTTATTTTTAGCAAAAGTTGTTTATAATATGGGTTGCAATCTTCGATTGTGTTTTAATAGAAGCCTTTGCGGCGTTTCATATGTCTTGAGGAATCACAAAATTAGTTTATATAGAGTCATGAAATAACCCCTAAGCATGTGTTTTTTATACGAGTTTTGAGTACTCGTATTAGTCTTTCAAATCACATATTATAAGATAATATCTTCTATTGAAACAATAAAAATATAAACATAAACATGTGAAGACAAGTTTTCTCAATAGACCAACGTTGTTTTTATCAGAGATTTTTTTTAATAAAATGTAAAACAGTTCTACATAAAACATAACGGGTGACGCAAAAGTTTCTGAACAAATGTTGGCTTATTTTTCACCAGCTAAAGCGCGTGTGAATAACCTCGAAAGTGCTTGTGCAGAATCTACATCGAAAGCTCTTTTTAAACGTTTGTTCAAAAAAGCTTCATTATGTCCGGTTTCTTAGTAGAGAGCACAACTTTAAACAGCACTAAAATGTGGTTTGCAAAAGAAAACCAATACCAAAGAAGATACCGATCTCACAGTACTTTGGGATTTCTTTTGGTTCATTTTATAAAGTGGTGTTTCTCTTTTCTGTATCAAATGACCGTCTCTATTCTCGACAAATCATATAGAAAATACTATGGAATTCTTCGAGATAACATTGAGAGAACTCAATTTCGAATCTATAGCCACTTTCAGATTGATGTTGATATTGTTTTACTCGCTGTTCAACTTTGTCATTTCTAATGATCGACTCAGGCATATTCATAGAAGGAGTATCGTGACCATTTGTTCCTTCAGTTTTGACGTTATTTTTTACATCATTGTTTGTTCAACCGTCAACCACGCCATCTAATGTGATATCATATGATTTTCTATTAAGGTTGTAGCATATTGAACGGCGCATCTAACAAAAAAAAAGAGCAGCACCATACTATTGATCGAATTGGACAAAATTTTAAAAAAATATTGAAACATTCGTTTATTTCCTGCCCACTATATTGAGCTGTTTTTACAGATCATATTATAGTCCTGTTTTAAGATGTGTTTTCTCCTGAAAAACAAGACACGATCGAACTTTTTGAATGTACATTTAGAAAGAGTTTTCGACGATGATTCTGTACAAGTACTTTCAAGTTTATCCACACATATTTTAGTCAATGAAAAATGGATCGATATTCGTGCAGGAACTTTAGCATCACCTGATAGTGTAGTAGAAACCAATAATTATTTATCTTATTTGCTTGTTCCGTGCTCATCACAATCTATCGGTTACATATTCAGTCAAGCTATGTATTTAGCAACCGAATTGAAGTCGACAAAATATATGAAACACCACCTTAGAACAAAATACAAAGAAAAACAAGATTGTATTGTGAAATATTGATGAACTATGTAATAATCTGGTTTAATCTCAAGAAGATGATTATAAAGTTACTGATGTATGATCTACTGAAAGTTTATGGAGAACATTAACGAAAAATGTGTTAGGAAAACAGTTTTTCAAGCTTCAAACAATATAAAACTAGACTGAACAAAGAATGAAAAAAAAAGTTCTAATGATTGATAAACTTTCTAAAACAATTAGAAAATCAATAAGAAGTTGCGGACAACAAATACGTAATAGTTAAATGAGATTTTGTGAAATCAAATTAATACATGTATATATAAAATAATGTTTTTCATTTATTTTTAATAAACTATGTTGCTGGTCGATTTTGAAAAATTTATTGCCACAGTCTCATGTTTATCTTTTTATTATTACAAAAAAAGAATTTATCCCATAATACATCATTTGTAAGACTGGCACCAGTGCTCAAGGCTCATATAAAAACATTCGATAAGGGTTATTTTTTATCTACATATAAACTACGTTATTATGTGACGCCTCAAGACTTATGAAACACCCTGTAGAGTTGAAAAAAACATATAATCGAAGATTACAATACCATATCAATGTTTATGTTCAAGCAACATCAAATCTATTTATCAAACTTTGAAGAAGTAGATTGGTAATTGACTCAAGTTAGCATATGACGTATCAGTCAAATATAATACATACGAATTTTTTCGAAATGTTTTTAGACTCAGAAATGCAAGTATTTTGGGAATTTCATCAGAAGTGTCAACAACTAGATTTATTAGTTTCTAATAAATAGCCACTTGTTATAAAATAATACTGATTGATGAAATATATTTGTAGCTTACATTCGCATACTTTAAAGTTTCATATGCAAATGTTATACAATAACAGATTTACATTATATTGAGAAAAATCGGGCTTTTTTGCATTTTATATTTATGTATAATAATGAGAACAAGTCAACTATTTTATTCTTGAAAATTATTTCAGTTATATTACTTAATGCACTTTTGCATGTTTATCATCGAATTATTTTTATTGAATGAACTACAATTGTCTCAAGAAGTATTAAACACATTTAGCAGGGATGCAACACAATTCATACAAGAGACAGGTATTTCGAAAGAGAATTCAAGACCTATGAGATTTAAACACCAGTGTTCGAAAGGAGTTCATAATAGGTATAGTAAAGTGGTATTTTTCATTGCAGTAAAATTATACAAAAAATCTGTCTGTTGTCAATTGAATTTTTATTTTAAGAAAGAGAAGAGGAAAAACGTTTTTAGTTTTCACAAACACGTTGGCTCAAACGTAGTCGTTTCATGTTTTGAAGAATAGAATAATACACCTTAACAATCAAAACAAAAACCACCATTGTACGACTTTTGAAGAAAGTTGATTGCGAACTGAAAACTTTACTAACACCAAAGATAATTTTTTTTTAAATCGATGATTAACGGAGTTTTAAGTTTTGATTTTGTTTTTCAACTTTGTTTCATAAAAGAAATATTCATATCAGAGCGGCCTTTCGTAAAATCAGAGAAAGTTCTCATTGAAATTCTCTAGCATAAAAGAATCAGGAGGTCTACAATCTTCTCCTTAATCATACGAAATGAAAGCCTAGAGATATGCACAAAATCAAAGAAATTTCTGGTTCAAATAATATGAAAATTGAGAAAGATGTAGTTGAATTTTTTCCAAATCCAGAAATATCTTAGCACAAAATTCTTAAAAGAGATTGAGGACAACTTCTCTCGAACATTGTATTTGTTTGCATCGTTGCTAAGTGATTCAAATCTTTCTTCTAGAAATAGTTGAATATATATAAATGCATTGGCTACCTCTATTTATAATCAAAATGTATGAAAAATTACATTGATAATTAATTAGTTGTATGTTTGGGATTTCATTAAATTATAAACAGTTTTTAACATGTGTACATAGATCCAACCCTTCGAATAGACTCATTAGAGAAAATAAATATTGAAGCGTGATCAACTATAAGATTAATAAAGAATATTAATAAATCAAGAAGTAAATATCTCTAATGATAGAATCATATTAAATAATTAATTGCTGTTGGGTTCAAACTTAAGAGAGGCATGAAAACTCGAAAAAAGATAAATGCTTTTACGCTTACCTTTCAGATTTCTAGTGACTTTACAGGTATTTTCGCTCATACTACGGTAGTACATGTCAATAAATCGAATGAGAATATTTCAATCAGAAATTCGATTCACAGGTAGTTATATCTATATCTAGAGTATCCTTCAGGGTTCTGATCAAAAGAGTTTTTTTTTCAGACGATATCGAATTTTCTAAAAATATGAAAATATCGTATCTTTCATGAGATATGAGGGCTTCTTTTGGAACATCAATTTCTTATGAATGGATTACTCTTTTGAGATGAAAACTGTCGGATATTCTAGAAACAATTCGGCCTATGGGTCGATAAAATTTTCGGTCGAAGCATCGTCATTCAATTTGTTGGTAAATACCATGTCATTGGCTGAAATTTCGGGAATTCCCGCAATTTGCCAATAAGACTTTCGCCAATTATTGATGTATTGGCAAAAGTTGAATAGATGTTCGTCAGTTGATGCAAAACAAGATGAACACGATACATAGGAGAAAACTATGCCTAGTATTATTAAAATGTACCTTGATATATACACTTATGAATGCATTTGATACCAATCTCTCTAATCAATGACAGAGTTACATTCAAATTGGCGAAAGTGTAGGCTGTACATTGGTGAAGAATGGGTAAGCCGAAACTTCAGTATCATGACTTTAACTGTGACATGAAAGCATCACAGTACTTATACTGTTGAGGTTTTGTGGTATATTTCATTGGAATCTGCCTTGTGTAAAAAAGCTTGAACATAAAAATAGTTAATCACTTAGATTGATTCCTTCGTAAATATGTAATAATTTTCTATTTTACTCGAACAATAAATATTTATGACTATTAGGTTTCTAATAAAATCTATTTCATCAAAAGGTGATTAGTTCATAGTTAACATTCAAAACCAAATTTTCTACAGCGGTGCATGAAATTCTTAAGGACTGATATATAAGTTTTCTATCAAATAGATTTGTAGAATATTTTTATTATGTTATTTTAAAAAATAAAAACAGTCAGTTTTATTTTGAGTATAAACTCTTCATTGTGCTAATGATCTCTTCCAGTACTTCAACGACATAATATGTTCCCAGATTAATCGTTAGAATTTTTTTCTCGTAAATAAATAGACGAAAAGTGAATCTACTGCATAATACAGATTTTTTACGCTCATATAATTAAATTTTATATTGATTAATATTCGATCAATTTGTAAAGATTAACAATAAATTTTATCTATTTTAATAGACATTTAACTAATGGTATTATTCGATTATTAAAAAATAACTTTTTTTGTAAACATTGAGAAAAATAAATATTAAACTATGCGTAGACTAATGGTAGTTGAAAGTCGTATGGTATAAATATACAAACATATATGATGGCACTAAATACAACAAAAACAGAACACGATGAAGAAAAGAACGTTGTTGATAACTGATGAAATCGCTTCTCTACAGAAACATTATATCTGCCATGTTAAACTCTCACTCAAAGTGTCCTCAAGTGATCCTTGGCAGAATTAGACATATAATACTGATTTATGTTGTGTCCGGGTCAATCGATCTCTATTTATCAAGTACCGCATTTGTTGTAGAATCAGTTTGACGAACTCGATCTACTGGTGGGTACCAGCTCATGTTTTGGAGCTACGCATGTCTTTTCCAGATACTCCTGTATATATATATATATATATATATATAATACGAATCTTAATATTTAGTTTTTACTTGCAGAAGTTTCAATAATACTAGTATTATTTTTATTATCATTACAATACTTCTTACTTTTCACAATAAATGATAAAACACTTCTTTCGTAATAATCTAATATAAAAGAATAATATAGCAATACGTACAAACACAACAACAAAAACAAACAGAGAGAAAAAGAAACTTATAATATATATGTGTGTGTGAACTTTCACATAAAAAAGAAGAAGTAAGTAAAATTTGGACGCATCTCATAGCTCCATGCTAGATTAAAATAAGAAGCAAGACAAAGAAATGCTAAAGCACAAACAAACAAAAACGTGTATATTAAACTATTAAAAGAAAAACAAAATCACAAAAAAAAAAAACAAAGAAAAGTTTTGCTTTAAATCGGATCATTTGTATTTTTACTTGATTCATCAACAGGATTGTTCACTTCAATTCCATTTGGTAAGGATTGATTTCCAACAGTAATTGTCATTGTAGGACTCATAACAGTATCTATTTGATCATTATTATTATTATTATTAATAGATTGAAATAAATAAAACCAAGATGGAAGTATTAAATTAATCATTACAAAACATATGGTTGATTGATAAATAATTGAACTACGTATTATTTTAAATATATATGTTTGAATAGGTATTAAATACAAAACAAGTGCAGAAATTATTAATGAAATAATTACACGATTATATTTCCATTTGCTATTGGGTCGATTATAACATATATGAATTAATGTATCAATAAATAAAGTTGGTGCAATATATAACCAAGATGCATTAAGAAAATTAAATGTTAAACGATGAAATAAATATAAACAAGTTAAAGTACTTGCCAATAGTGCAAGTAAATGAGAAATAATTAAAAGGCTATTTTTAAGAGAAATAAACAAAATAAATGTACTAATAAAACTACATATTATTAATGCAAGTATTAATAAACACATTTCAATACGTAATTGTCCTAATGATTCATAATTTGGAAAAATTACACTATAAGGAAATATGGATGGTATTGGATTTTGATTTGCATAAGTATACATTTGATTCATTATCCGAATATCTTCACGATCACCTGAAAGAATAAAAACAATTAAACACATTTTGTAATTAAATTTTTCCTTCAAAACTTATTCATTTTTGTATCTACAGTTGTACGTTTCATTCAATAGAAAAAATCTCAAGATATTTCCATATAAACTTTATTCAATGATGTCTGTACGGCGTTCACTCGATATTTTAAGTCTATGAAAGAAGTCTATAACTATTTTTGACAATTAATTTAAAGTCAAACAGCTGTAAAATACAAGAAACATGCATCAAAAAATGAAAATTTTCGAATTGATTAGTAAATTTAGTGTATCGGTCAATATTTTATAAACTAATGAAGGAAGTCTTCGAACTGTTCAATCGCTTTTAAGTCGAGACTATGTGCATTATGTAGATTCAAACGACCTATGAGCGCCCTAAAAAAAGTTCACGCTCTTAGCTTATTGTTACGAGGATACTACACTTTTGTGGTATTCTTTAAATAAGTGTCATGGTCCGGAAAAAACTGATATCGAAATTTCGACTTTACACAGAGACAGGCCTTAACGAGAGTAGTTTCAGATGTTTTGATTTTCTTCCATCCTGAAATAACAACATTAAATCTGCTGGTTCATATGTGTAATGTAAAAGATACGCTATTACCATAGTTGTAATGTTAGAATACGAATGGTGTGACCTTCACAAAAAAAACCTATTCTCATAAAGACCTCTCTCTATGCAAGGTTTCAAGTCGATATTCGAAAATCAGTTTTTATGGTATTTCTGAGTGAGACTTTAAAAATGTACCTTGAAAGTGATGTATTTCCATAGCAATAAGCTATGAGTAGAAACACTTTTTAAGGTATTCATAGTTCATTTGGATCCACATAATGCACATAATAGATTCAGCTCGAAAGCGATTGAGTAGTTGAAGGATTCTTCTCTTACGACTAAAGTAAATGCATAGATCCATTGAGCCGTTAAATAAAAGCTGCCAGCAGGATTTCTGTACGATTAAAACGTGAAACACGATGTAACTGTACTTACTAATCACAGGGACATTGTTTTATTCTAACTGTTTTAGAACACATTTCTTCAACTATACTTTTTGTTTAATTCTTCACAAATGCGATAAGAAAATAGTTCATATGTTATAACGCGACTTTATTGATGTACGGTCTGTGATCGTACATCAATGTCAGTAAGGAATCCACATTTTTATCCTTATACTTCAACACCAAGTTTTACTTATAATAATCAAATAGTGGCTAAAATGAACTCGGTCAACCTTACAAAATGGTGAAATTCCGCTTAAAAATTGAGCTTGGACTCCTTCTAGAAGTATTACCAAAGAGTCTCCATCCATTCTACGGATATGATGAGAGGATTTAACCATCTCATAACATTTTTCTGTTTACGCTACTAAACTATATATATTACAATGTAGAAGTTTCGAATGGAATGACTAGTTCATTTTCAGATACTTTTTTAAGACGTAAATGAAGCTACAAATTTGATAGACACTCGAAGGCAGTCTGTCTAACTGGCAGAAGGTGACTGGAAACGAAGAACGACTAGCCTAGGCGTGCATCTTCCACATCGAGACCTATCTAGTCAGTCTATTGAATAACATACATTCAGTCAATCTATTGATTTACTGGTTCTATTCAAAAGCAGTTTATCATTCTTAAAAAGTTCATTTATAAGTACGCATGTAAAATTATTTAACAACAAATCTGTCTTATCGTTACAGATATTAATAATTCTAATTAGACATTTTTAAATTGTAGTTTTTCATCCTACGATGTTAATTTCGATCGTTCTGGAAGAATATTTCAACTTCATGAAGAATAAATATAAGCATTTCTTTTATAAATATTATTTTTTTACCTTTAATAGATTTATATTGACAATAAAATCTTGATGCTACGATTGTTGAATGATTGTGTCCTTGGGATACAATTAAATCATTTCGTGAAAATGGTGTTATACGATATTGTAATTCATCTTGTCCCGTTACTATATGAGGGATATTTTCATAATCTAACCACAATAATTTAAATGTGTTTGTTCTTGTTTCATTGACGCATTGATCAAGTAGAAAACGCATTGCTAATTGAACTTGTTCATTTTCATAATTAATTGCTTGTGGTATTGTAAACATAATAACAGGACCAATGTCGAAATCATCTGCTTGTGATTGCATATGTGATCGTAATGAATAAGCATCACGTGGAAGAAATTTATCTTCATATAAACTTGTATCGATTGAAAGTCCGAACCACATACTTAATATTAAAAATACAATTAATAATAAACATAAAATAGAAGCAATAAGTTTCTTCCATATTGAATCAACATTTAATAATGAATGAATTTTAGTTTTTAATGATTTTAATTTATTACATTTTCTATTTGTTTTTGTATAATAATCTTTTGATAAACGACAACAAAATAAACAGTGACGACGTGATGATACACGTTTTATTGTTATAACAAGACATGATGAAAAAAATGTTGAATGTACAATATAATTAACAAATATATATAATGCTAATGTTAAACAAATTGGCATTGTTGATGACATTAATGAACATAGTGGAAATAATAAATAAACAAAAGATATAATTAATGTTGACACTATAAAATATGGATGAGTTGATTCAATAATTGATGGAAGAATTTTTTCAATATCTATATCAGATGATGCATCGGTTACCGCAATAAAATGTTCTTCAATTATTCGATGATATTCGCCACATACAATTGAAAAACGCATGCAATCAATAACTAAAATTCAATAAGATCATTGAATTGATTTTCAAAAACATAACTTGTGGAGCGTACGTGAAGTGTGATATTCTCTGCTAGTTCTGAAATTCGTCCATACACCGCTCTGCTGTTTTTGAAAAGTATCCACACGGTGTCTCTTTTCTCTAAGATTCAGTCACTCTGCGCCTCCTCTGTTAATATTGATTCTAGTGACCCAAAAGGAGATTTTAAACATAAGATATATCATAATCCAAAACCACTCTACTACTCATACTATATTGTACACATGTTTTATCCAATTATCAAAAATTTTAAAGCATACTATGAACTTGGACAGAGAACTAACAGTATAGATATGATGTTATTTATAATATTAATACATTGAAATAGTAACGTTATAATGATACTTTAAAATGCACTAACTTGTAAATTACAAATATCCTAGAGTCTATTTACAGTGTATATCATCACATTGTATGTGTGTTATAGAACGGTTAATTTCCATTGTCATAATTAAGCATGATTGCCAACTGAATATCTTTTATTTATTTGTTTTATAAGGCAAATCTCATCCGAATCGTACATATCCTAATATTATTTTGATCTGGTCACCAGATTTTTGTAAAAACTTCTTTAATAATGATTTCTAATTTTTATATTTGAGCAAGTTCTCCTACTTTATACTATGTCATCTAGCAGTGTATTGGTATGTTTACTAAACTGCGACTCAGTGCTTCCAACACGCACAACTTGAAAAGTTTTATTCTGGATGCTCTAGGGTTGTATAAGAACTAGGACGTTATTGAATTATGATACTTATCGTATATTTTATATTAAACAAAACCGTACTTACAAGGAAAGTCCTTCAACTGTTCAATCACTCTTCAGTCGAGATTATTTGCATTATGTAAACCTAAATCAGCTATGAATACCATGAATACAGTTTACTACCTTATGTTATTGCTGTCGAAATATTGCCTTTAATGGCAATAGTTTATTGTGAAAGTTCCAGATCTTTTGATTTCTTTCTATTGTGAAATAAGAACATAGTTTACCGTAGTAAATAAGCGATGTAGAAGACACGCCATTATCATAGTTGTATCTTAGGATAGGCACAGCAACACTCACAAAAAAGTATTCTAATCACGGCCTCTCTCTACGCTAGATTGCAAGTCGAAATTCGAAAATGAGCTTTTCTGGTATTCCGGAGAGAGACCACTGCATTTATTTAAAAAATACCATAAAAGTGAAGTAACTTTACAGAAATAAGCCAAGGATATAAAATCTTTTCTAGATAATTATGCGTCTTTTGAATCTACATAATATACGTTGTCTCAACACAAAAACGATTAAACAGTTGCAGGATGTCACTTGTCAATCATCATGAAATGATCCTTAGTTGTTTATTTATCTACACATGTAGATATAATTTAGGAATTGTTTTGTTAGGGAACCAACATTTGTGGTAAATAATAATCAATCTCTCAAAAAAGTTACTACGAATTATGTAGAAAAAAACAATTTTAACTTACTAGCAACAATAAAAACCAGAAGTACCATTGGTTCAATAACTCTAATACGAAAAATCGATATTAAACCAAATGTAGCACCAGTTGAAAGACCGATACTAAGTATTCCACAAAGTGGTAAATAACCAACAGATGTATGAAAATTGCCTTGAATACTCATGAAAAAACAAAGAAGGACAAAGAATACTAAAAACATAATCATCATATATAATCCTTCGTCATGTGCTTTTTTCGTAATAACATCAGATATAGCTGTTGATGTTAATGGAAACAATTCAATTAATTCTGATTTAAAGTCTTCATTAAGATACCGAAATACTTCACGTTCCCAATCAATGGCTAATTGACGCATTTCTAATGTTGATGTATTTAATGAATAACGAAGACGAAAAAGTGGCACATAAGATATAATTTTGTCCGAAGATGTTTGAACAATTTTTGCTGAATCATCTTGTTCTTGTTGTTGTTGTTCTTCTTCTTCCTCTTCTTCTTCGTCATAATCAGAAACAATTGGCAAAGCATTTGTTAAATAATAATTTTTACCAAAGATAAATTCTGGTACACCATTAGCACCTTCTTTATCAGCATAATATCCATGTTTAGGAAGAAGTAAATTAAACATCTTTTCACGAAAGTCGTCACTTAAAATATAATTTCCATCAATAATACAAGCATGGTTTGCTTTTGTACATAATGATGAATAATTATATATTATGGATTTATTTGAACTATTTATTTGAATAGATTGAATTTGTTTATCCAAATTGCGCATCTAAATATTTTATTCTTAATGTGAATAGTTAATAAAATAAATGTAATTTCTATTGGTCTTTGTTTTTAGAGTTTGATAAAACGAAGTAAAAAATAAACCAGAAGTTTTGTCTCCGTCAGCATAGATAAAAGATGTAGTTTTATAAAGAAAGCGTACTGTACAAAAAAAAACGATTCTAGAATATGATAACATTGATTTCCTAGATCATTTCGTAAGGGATTTTATCTGACTTAAAAAATTTCTAATGCTAAACAATTCAAGTAATCATTTGATTTTAGTAAATATTTTTTTTGAAGAACTTTGTTTATAATGAACTAAGGTGGAATTTGAATCCTGTAGATTAGATTCTCAAGGAACTTACATACGAAATACTTCAGTTACTTGCAGAATTGATTCTGACTAATAGAAATCAAAATTCTAGACATTGTTCGTAACAGATTTTAATTGTACTATTCATAATAAAAGAAAATATTTTCTAAGCATAGAATTTTTCCAATGAATGAGATATTAGAGCAACGATTACAGTCTGTTTAGAAGGCATAGTTTACTGTCGTTTTTCTTTTGGCTTTAGATACAGTTCTAGAACTACAGTTTTTTATTGTACGAATCAAAATTAGTTAGTAAGTCTTCTTATAGAGAGAACTCATAGTGTAGATGAAAACCCTATAAGAATTCGGGCAATCAGGACTTTCTTCTCGAGTTATGTTCAATTTACTGAGTTTTCAGCTTATTTCAAAATGTTACGGAAAAAATCATCAGAAGAAAATTCTACCTGAAATTTTCCACAATAAAAAAAAATCATCACTGTTATCAGTGGCGGATCTAGAATTTTAGAAGGGAAGGGCGATTTTCGAAAGATGCGGCGGTTATAGGCAAAAATCACTTTTTGAGACTTATGCGAGATAGTAAAGACCAGTTGTTCGTACGTTTTTGCTGAGAAAAAACAAAAAAAATCTCTGGAAGGGGGAGGCGATCGCCTGATCGCCACCCCCCTAAATCCGCCACTGACTGTTATAATATTCTGAAAGTTTTACCTTAAACAGATGATTTCTTTTTTGCGAAATGAGATGCCTAAAGAATAGACTGCATGCTTTATCTGAAGCCTTCATGACATTATACGAACCATAAAATCTATTATTGTGAAAATTTTCAAGCGAAATTTTCTTGTTACAATTTTAATTTTTGATATTCTAGGAATGTGCAGTTTCGATGAAAATGCTGAAATACCGACAGTGAATCTATTATTACATTGACCACATTGGATCGATGTTTACTGAAGCTTTGACACATCCATAGTATGAATATGTCAGGTAAATTAGTGAATGTCATTGTGAATTATCGGTGAACAGTTTATTGGGATTTCACATTCCTATAATATTCTACAATAGACTGAACATTCAGTACCATGAGTTTAACTCGAGAAGAAAGGTCTAATGATACAAAAACATTCTAAGGTTTTTATTTACACTTTGAGTTCTACCTATAGACAAAGTATGAATTTTAATGAAAGATGTCAATCGGATGAATTGCTTCATGAGATATTGACAAATATTTTTTATTTTCAAGAGAGTACAAATATGTTCGTAAATGCACTGTACAATTGAAATCCATATATTTAACATACAGTTAAATTTCGACAATATTTCGTTAAGTTTTAATAGTTATAAAACGCATTTATTGCGATGAATGTAAGCTGATAATATATCAACTGTGATTGCATAAAAGCTTTATCTTTTCTTTTATTCTCTTCTATTAATGTTATAAGGATATAAACGAATCTATATAATTCAAAAATTAAAAACAAATTTTATCTTCAAAACATTTCCTATATAACTTCTTTTCAGATTGCATTCATGTTTCATCAACTATCGAACAAAAGAAAAAAAAAATTTCTTTGTTTTTTTTAATACCTCGTCCATAATTTGTTCATTGAGCATATTTGTTAGATTATCACTTCTTGCATTGGTAACCAATTTTCTTTTTACAATAATATCTAATCCTGGATAAATATTCAATTGTTGATGTATACGTAATTCAGTATCATTTCCAAAAAATTTTCTTAAACGAGCAGCATTTTTCATAGTTAAACTTCTTCGCAGAGTAAAATCATTTTGATCAAATGAACGTATTTGCATAAGTAAAAAAAAACATACTGTAAGTCCAATAGTAATCAATAAACTAAGAGAAAATATTGACCATGAAAAACGTATTAAAAATTTTGAATAAATATTTGAAAATTGTTTCCATTTTGAATTCGACAAATGTCGAATTGAATTCATACATGTTTTAAATCGATTTGCCGGTTTCACTGAAGAATTATTAATCGTAACCATTATGATAAATTATTTTATATTCTAGCCTAATATTCAATAGAAAAAAATTAATGGAAATATAACTAAAGTAATATCGTATTAGAGTAAAAATGTATTTCAATTTTTATTTTTTTCCTTATTTATATCTATATCATATGTGTGTGACGGAATGTGTAGAAAGAAGAAAATAAAAGATCCAACATTCTATCACGCATGTATATTTTTAAAACATAGGTATTTAGAATGTTATTTATGATAATATAAGTGGGTGGGTGGGTACCTCTAAATAAAATAGAAAATGAGAGATAAGGACAAAAAAAATGAACATTAATTTCTTTCTCTGTTACTTTCTTTTTACTAAGGAAACCGATTGTAAAAAGTCATGATACATGTCAGTTATTTTTTGCTTGAGTCTATTATCTCTAAGTGACTGACATAACCTATTGATATTCTTGAAATATGTAGTGAGACAATAGATTATGTTATACATAACAATTCACGAGAGAGCTACCTCTACTGATATCCGCCGTTTGAACTCATTTTGAGTTCACAAAGAGATCTCGATAAAACTAGAAAGATTCTAAAAGGATTAGTGTCAATGGGTCTCTAGAGCCGAGTTTTGATTGTTTTAATGAATTTTCAACCGAGCATCAAGTATTTACCAAAAACCACAATAATGGTATTTTTATGTGAAATTTCGTCTAAAATCCGGTCACATGACTAGTAGAACACCCTGAAAGTTCAGCCGAAAAGAATGTTCCTTTGTCAAGATATTGAATTTTCAAAAAACGGTTATTTACCACAAAAATCAAATTTACTTGAAAATTGAGTATCTCAACAAAGGAACATTCTTTTCGGCTGAAACTTTCAGAATATTCTACTAGTCATTCAACCTGATTAGAGGCAAAATTTCACATCGAAATTCTGTTATTTGATTTTTCAGTAAATACATGAAGCTTGATCGACAATTCTGCAAAGTGATCATAAGTCGGCTTCAGAAACTCATGAGCACGAACGCGTGTAAGCATTTACTAGCCTTACTGAGACTTGCTTGTGAACTTAATATGAGTCCAAATGGTGGATATCAAGTCGGGTCGTTCCCTTCTCAGTAAATCATAACCGTAACTTATCAGAATGTATAAAAAAAAACCTAGCCATAAAGAGAGAAATAATTTACACCTGTTACCTCTTCCTTTGCCTTCAAAAATTTGTAGTATTGAAGTATTGAAGAAAACGTTTCAATACTCAATTTGAAGCAAACAAGATTATGAAAATATTAATAATAAACACAATGTCTCTAAAATGAGTATATGAAACAAAAGTAAAAAAACGAAAAATAGCTTATATATATATATGTAGGAGGAAAAGTATGAAAGCATCACGCCATACATCCATTACTTCGTTTGATGTACAGAACAAGCATAAACGTGATTCAAAGTGAAAATAAATACAAGCAGTTATATCAAATATTTTACTTAATATTCTTACATACCACTAATAGACTGTTGTTTGTTTTCCTTGGAATGGTGCCACTTTAGAAATGTGTCAATGTTTTGTTTTAAATGTTATCGCTAGGTTAATATCTCATGTGAATATGTATAAACACATGAGAAGAAAAAAAGAGAAAAAACTCGACCGATCGGTCATCTTGAATGCATTATTTCTTTCGTTTCTGTAGTGATATTGTTTGACCTTGATATCAGTGTTAGCCTTTATTTTTTTCATTCATGTCGATTCTCTACAAGGTCCATGGTTTCTATTTATTTGATCTTGAACTCATTTTTTCTTTACTTTCTAAAGAAAGGAGGATAAATGTAAACGAAAAGGAAAAAACGACAATAAATTATGACAAGACAGAGACAAGAGAGAAAGAGAGAAATGGGAGAATACGCTTCTGTTACCTAGACAGCAATACATGTTCGAATATTCCGTTTTATAAAAAAAAAAAAAAAAAGAGGAGAGACGGAGAAAGAAAGAAAAAACGAACATAGTTTTTAAGCATTCTATATGGGTGAACCAAGTGCTGGAAGGCCACTTGTACCAAGGACAGCACGATTAAATAAACTAGAACCGCGTTTCAATTGTTCCTGAAAGTAAAAGAAAAGAACATTTTAATTCTAAAGAGGAGAAACAAAAAAAAAAAATTTACCGTCTTTTTCAAATAATTATATGCATCATGCCAATTAGCATAGATTGGTGTTATAGGTAACATTCCTGCACGAAGTCCACTTCGATTAATAGTTGTTACAGTTGTCACGACATTCAATGGATAAGTTACTGTTTGAGCTATGAACTAAAATAATTTTTCCTTTTTTGTTATAAACAAAGTCTATTAATTAATTTTATGTATTTATCATGTTTCAAATCGAGGTTATATAAACAAATAACAAGAATAGCGTGACTCGTTTTGTGTTAGGTTTCATTGTCAGACTCAAACGAGACAGAAAAAAAAGGATGAAAAAAGAATGGCGTGATCATGTTACATAACCAAAATTATGATTCTGATTGTATTATTTACAAATACTTGTATAAAGTTGAACAAATATTTCGAAATAAAAGGCTACTCAATATTTTCACTAGACAATTTTTGAATTAGTTTGCTCGTCGAATAATATTAAAAATTCTACGTTTACATTTTTACTCTGATAAAAATGGTCTTTTGTGTTATTTTTTTTTGTTGAAAGAAGATAATATCAATAACTTATAGAACGTTGTTATGGCAATGACCAATAGATGGTTGTCTTTTTGTCCAAAACAAATAAAATCCGAGTTTATGCGCAAAAAAAAAAAAATGTAAATCAATGTATTTTATTTTCGCTGCTGGTTATATTTATATATGTACAATGAACATTATCATCTTTGAGTATCAACTTAATACTGATGAAGCACGACAAATGTGAACAGGATTTTTGCTCTCTTAGACGTTTCTTTTTGAGTTATGACCATTTTATTGAGTTGTGAGCTTACTGCAAGATATATCGGAAGAATTCGAATTACATTGTCAATATGATATCTTACTTTATAGATAGACTTTAGAGTTCTAAGAATATTCTAAAAATTTCAGTCGATACCAAAGCTTTCATTACGAAATAATTAAATTTAAAGGAGAAGAAGTATAATTTTATCAATACTTCAAAAAACTTCAGTTGACTTGAAAAGCCCGTGTCTCGCTACAGAAGCATTAGTTTCAATTGAAACTTTAAGAACATTCTGCTCCACTGAGATCAATCTATGAACAAAATATTAGACCAAAAGAGTTATTCGATTTTTTTCGCAATACCTTTACAGTCGGTGAAAAATTCATTAATGTTCAAAAGATAAGGTAAGAACAGCTTGAACATCTAAGTATATTGTCTCATGAATAAAAATTCGATAAATAGTTAAACTAAAATCCCATATAAGTGGAAAATCCATTAACACGAAGAGTTCGCATCAATTCTAGTTCAGGGAAATTAACTACATTTCAAATTTTGAAGTTTTATCTTTGAAGTTCATTATTTCAAAAAGCTGTTTCGATCAATATTTTGAATATGTTCTTATCTTTTTCTTTTTTACTACACTTCAAAGACATAATAAAGCATTGATCATTCATTCATATTAAATAAAGTCTAACAAGGGAAGTACTCAAGATTTCCATTCCCGCTTTGACTCAGTCTCACAACATCATTCGGTGCTGTGTATTGAGATAAGAAAAAGTCTAAAAGTGTTTGAACCCATGACCTACTATTGACAAAGAGTTATAATTTGAAATTTTCTCTATAAATAGATGTAATAATTGTTATATAGCCCTGAACATATCAACGAAAATGAGCATGTAATTCTCAAGATAATTAATATCCAAGTAGAATGGATTCTCGTGTTCTCTAACGGTAAACGGCTGTTTCTTTGAAAACTCAATATCTCGATAAAGATATATTCGTTTTCGTTGAAACTGTCAGAACTATCTAATAACTATAAAATCTATTTATAGACAAAGTTTTAAAAACATGACCATAACTCTTCGCCAGTAGGCCATCGGATAGAATCGTTTTAGGCTTTTTCTTACTCCAATATATTTTATCAAATAAATCAAAACGAAAGTGGGACGTTCCGGGTACATCTTCGCGTGAGAATTTATAATGACCCATTTCTAATTATTTTAAATTTATATCAATTATCGTTTTTTTTTTTTTGTTTTTTGAAATACACTTACAGTAGCAAAATATTCGTATAAAGATATCATTTCATTTTGTGATGGCAATTGTGTTTTGAGTAAATGAATAAGAACATTTGTTATAATAACAGCTGAAATTTCAAGTAACCATCGAGGAATAAGTCCACTGTTATATATAGAAAAATCAAAATCAAGATCAAAATATTAAATTTACATACACAAAAAATCCTCCAATTCCTTGACGATCATAAATTTCTTTAACATTTTGAAATATATTTATTTCAGAATATGCTTTTTCACGGCCAACAAATTGACCCATACATCGAATAGCCATGACTAATTATCAATCAAATATTCTTTTATTTTTTTCTAAAATAAAACAAAAATTTTACCGTAAAAAGGATGTGATATGAAAATTCCCCATGACTGTGTTTGTACTTCACGTAAAGTCTTAACAAATAAATATATAAATTTATAATTATATTATATTTTAACATACTTTTTGAATACATTTATTCCATGCTGAATTTGTTGGATCATTCGATACTCGAACATCAACAGGACCAAGAAACTAATTAATAAAATATAAATAAAACCTGATTATTAAATTCTTCTTTTTATATAATTCACTTCATCAACTTTTGTTGTTGTATACCAACATACAACCTTAGATAAAAGCGAACAACCAAAACCACGATATAAACCAACAAAACCATCAACATTATAAACATATTTAACTAAATTAAAAACAAAAACATTTTTATTAATTCAAAACAAAAATATCAATCAAACTAACGATAACGAAATACATTCGGATAATAAACAGCTTCTTTGCCAAATAAAGTTCTTCCTCTATATGCTGGTAATGGTTCATAACCCATCTAAGAAAGATTGGAATTATTTATTAGAAGAAAAAAATAACAACAAATATGATTTATTTTAAATATCTTACTTGCATTAATATTCGTACGTAAGCAAATGGATGGCCAAGAACAAGTTGCATAGTAGTGCCTTTTAATGCTGCAAATGTTGGATTAGCCGAAATTGATGTTACACTAAATCCACGTGTAGGTTGTTGTTGAGCTGCTGTTCTAGGCTGTATAAGTGGTACAGCAATAGAATTAGACGAATCGACATCTGAGCTGGAATGAGCATTATCAACATCCTGATATTTATTTAGTGAAGAATCCTATAAGAATGCTTTTTTTATCCGAAATTTAATACAAGATTATGAACATACACCTTGCTTTGATGGTGATACAGATGAAAATGTAGCCATGATTTTTATATTTGAAGTTCTTTCAAATAATTGACAGTTTGTTTGAGTGAGTAAAACGATTCTGTTTGGTCTTTTGGATAATGTTTATTTGTTTTTTTATGTTTTTTGTTGTTTTCTTAACCATTTTTCTGGAAAACAAGATTGAAACAGAAAAAAAAAGTTCTCATGAATATTGCAAGAAGATATAAAGAATCTATATATATTTTTTCTTGTTTTAATTAAAAAGTTGTTCAATGTGTCAGCGACATCTATATGTAACTACGACAACCTATGGATAAATGTTATGAAAAATGGAAATCATTCGTATTATATCATGAGTCTTTTTTTTACATTTTAACAACAATGTATGGACTTGAAATAAATCAATTAGCTAATTTACTTAAACAATCTGATCCAAATCGAGATGATTCTGATAGTGATGACGATCAAGTAGTTATGAAGAGATATTTCTTTCTTTTATATGTTAATTATGACAAATTTTAGCCAAAGAAAAATGCCACAGCTCATTTAACTCCTGCAAGTTTGGTTTCACAAGCGCAAAAAACTGCTAAAACTATTGAAAATGTGAATGCTGAAACTCCGAAAAGTACTTTTTAAAACCAAAGTTAAATCTGAAAATGTTTTTATTTCCATTCAAGAACCTCCAACTGTTAATTCAAAAGATATTTGGCAAATTGATGAAGTACCTGATAATAGTGTACGAATACAAGATGAAGTAGACAAACGACCACAACCAGAGTAAAAAACAAATATATTATTTTTTATCAATTTTCTTCTGTTTTTAATGTTAAGATATGAAATGCATTATAAACAACGAGTCACAACCGAAGATGTTTTTCTTCAAATGGGCAATAAAAATCCATCATCAGCGAGTTGTGAAGATCTTGTGGTGAGTTATTTCGAATAATTTACATCATGATTTTATATTTATTCAAATAATTAAGATAAACAGAAAATCATATATACTTAAATGTTTTATAAACAAAGCTATTCGATAGTGATAATTCAAATATAAAACATGTTAGAAAATGTTTAACATGTAGCGACGAACAAAAGTTTAGAGCAGTCGTATTTTTTAGTTTTCTTCTCGATAGTAATAGCTATTAAGAATCTGAAAAAACAGTTGAATACCTAAAAGGACTTCCTATTAGGATTCTTGGATTTAAAAAGTCTAATAAAATTACTCGGGTGAGTATGTTTGAAAAATTCAGATCTCCAAGACAGTTTTCTGGCATTTATTTGAAATTTTTTTAGCATAACCTTATTTGATAGAGCAGAATGAGATATCTCGTCTCTCTTGATGACGTTCCTTCATCGAACCGTATTCAATTTACAGAAAACCCGAGAAACATCTTTGTTTTTATGAGAAGTTTATGATTTTATGGTGTTTAATGATTTGGAATCTTTCATAAATTGAACGGAGTTCGATGAAAGGAACATGATGAAGAGAGGCGAAACATTTCATTTTGCTCTATCAAACAAAACTATTTCGAAAAGTCTTCAAATCGATTCTAGAAAACTGGTTTTGGATGATCTTCGGTTTCCAGGAATCTCCATCCAAAGAATCTTATTGAAGCTTTTAGATACACCAATCCTGATCGAAAATTATCGAACACTGTGTTTCATTAGAGATTTATTTTTCTATGATACTATATTGTAAAATATTTTTTAGGTTAATATTCAATTACCAGATACAAAATTAAGTGATATTATTTTGGATATAACAAAATCATTTCTTGATTGTCGTTGTCGGAAATAGTAAAAACTTTCATTTGTTGTTTTTTTTTTCTTATTATATTTTCTTTAGTCGTCTAGCATTATCATTACCTCATCCTGTTGATCCTGATAATTCTCAAGCAAAATGGGATAAAGATAAATGTTTACTTCAAGTTACATTAAAACTTGTTCGAGAATATGATGATTTCAATTTTTAAATTCAGATTATTAAATAAATAAAATGCTCTTTTTTTTTTTTCTTTTTCGTGTGTTCAAAATATAAAAAAAGAGAAATGTATGGAATCATGTTTTGTTTTTAGATAACTTCTGAATGTCATCCAATAATAAACGATGTTCATCGGGTATTTCACCCACTACACAAACACCATCTTCTCGATCATCAAAACAACTTTCAACATTACCTCGTTCAAAAACATGTGGTTTTACTGCTATAACATCATCAAAATCGAAACCAGAACGTCTTCAACCACTCGTAACAAACAAAAATTTACCATTAAATAATGAAGCATTTGTAAATTTCTCGTTTTCTTTCATTCTTTTTTTTTTCAAGTGAAATATTGTTTATATAGCTTGATAACATTGATAATCTTCATCCGGCAATGGTTAATGAGCTTTGTTTACATGCACGAGGACTTGTTACAATACCAAATTTATCTCAAGTAGTTAAATAAATTTTATGTAAAAATATAAATTTATTTTCTTTTTATTTTATTAGTTTAGTAAATTACAGATGTTAGATATTTCGTGTAATAATTTAACACGTATTGAAAATTTAAGAAATTTATCGGTAAAATAATTACATATGGATAATTGTGAAATATATACTTTTTTTTCTTCTATTATTCTTCTAGAATTTACGTGAATTAAAATTATATGGAAATAAAATTGAACGAATTGAAAATCTTGAATGGTATTTTATTATTAACTATGACTGTTAATCTATTTGAAATATGTAGTTATAAAATAGAATCTCTCTTTTTTTTTTTTTATAAATTCTGATAGACAATGTAAAGAATTCTACTTTCATGAGACCTTCTTACGTAGATATATTTACATGGCACATCAATCTATTTTGATTATTAAATTCATTTTGCAAGCTTTTATTATTTTCATTGAAATTTTCTAAGAAAAAAGCCTTTCTGATTCGAATAGAATCTGTCTCGATTATCGTATTTTATCAATATAATAATTCATAAGTTAAAAGGAATATTTCGAAAACTTTCCAGTTTTTATTAATAAAATAAATTTCATTGTTTTTTATTAAAAAGAAATATTGAGATAAGAAAAAAATTCAATTCATTCTTTGAGTCAATGAATGTTTAGAAAGACGGAATGATTTTCATTAGAATTCCATATGTGGACAATTTCATTCCTTGACAATGTGATTTCACAAAATAAATATGCATTTATTTCTAAATTTTGATTTAGTTAAGTTTTATGTATCAAATATATGTTAAGTTATTTGCTATAGGCTGAAAAGCTTAGCCCAAACGCCTTTGCTCTGCAATTTTTTTCTTGAAAAATTACCGTTAGCGACCTGACGCGAAAAGAACAAAGTTTATCACAGCATGTATTTGCATTTATAAATATTGCAAGTTGAAAAAGTACTTCTGAATACCAAATAGTGCTTTTTGCAGAAAAATCTTCAAGCTACAAAATTTCCATGCAAGAGTTCTACTGAACATGCTTAGGTTTTTTGAAAAAATAGAGTTTATTTGTTGTGGACGACGTGACTGAGTAGAAATATAGAAACGAAATATTTTCTTGTAACTGAATGAGCAGCCCAAAAGTCAATTATAAATGGTACAAATCTTTAGTGTGAATCTCGAGATAATATCAAAACAAAATGTCTCGTTCTCGAACATGAGAAAGTCTTTGGACAATAGGCTTTTGTGAAGTAATTTCTTGGAGTCGGATCTTTCTAAAAATTTTGTCATACATTTAATTCGTAGCATGGAGTCTATCTTGAAATTCTTGCACTTTTCCGTCATGACTTTAGAAAGTTATTGCTAATTACGTTTTTTATCATTAGCCAATGAAGTTTAGTTAGATATGAGTTGAAAGGGCCAATCGTTTTACATCAATTTATGGTAAAAGAACTTGCTTAAGAAAACTGTGCTGAAAAAGAATTAAAGTCAAATCGGAGATAGTCATATCCCGTTTTGATTGATTTTAACGATATGAAGGATTTAGTCTTCAAATCAGCTATATCGTCTATGCGATTATTCATGACTAATATTGACTCTATAATAGAATTCTATGTTTTTTGGTTCTTTGTTCATGTAAAAGTTTTACAAAGAATCGATCATAACTTCTTCAATTGCTAATCATGAATAGATCTGCTCGTAAAGTGTTTTATTAAATACTTTGTCTTCATAGTCTACATAATGCCTCCCAGTTTAGTATTGTAAACATTCATTTATACTCGTTACTTTCTCTATCATTGATAGTCTTATCAAGTATTGCTCCATTTTATTAAAAAATAAAGAGATCACTGACTCATATTGTTTTATTTAGTTTAACTCAATTACAGACTCTTCAATTACAATATAATGAAATTCAATCAATCGGTAAGTAATATCCTTGTACATTCGGTAAATGAGATTATTTTTTTCTATTAGGTTCTGGCCTTGTATATCTAACTCGTTTACAATCACTTCGTATAGATTCTAATAAACTCTCACTAATTCGATCAGATGAAGTATTAAAATTAGCTCAACTTAAAACTCTTGATATATCTGATTGCTCAATAGAAAATCTTGATGTAAAAACAAATTAAAAACCTTTTTATTTTATATTTAAATGAATTTCAATTTGTTCTTTTTTCAGTTTATTAATACACTTTCATCTATATCAGAATTACGTGCATGCCATTGTTATTTAAAAACTTTACCCAATCAATTTCGTAATCTTCGTTATTTAATTGATCTTGATTTGTCAAATAATGAACTTATTAATATAACGCCGTTAAAAAATTTATCCTCATTACGTATTCTTCATTTAGCTTATAATCATATTCAAGATATTCAAATACTATCGTCTCTTGTACTTTTAAATGAACTTGATTTAAATAATAATCAAATTAATTTAGTACCAAATACATTTGATAAACTTATTGATTTACAATATCTGAATTTATCGAATAATCGTATTAATTCTTGGGATGATATTGTAAGGTTTTTGTGATACACGACCTAAAAGGAATGTCGAAGTATATAGAGTAGAAATGTTTACCTCCCCCTTCTTTTCGGACAGTAGACATT